ATTTTAGTGATGCACCGAAATTACAGCAACTGAAAATATTTGGCCAAAAATAAATTCAGTTTCATGTTCACTTTAGGAAAAGTATTTTGCTAAATACACTGTATGCAATATATTAATAAAGTTCATATTCATATTATTACCAGTTTTCATTATTGAATGTATTTTAAGAAATCTTGCATCAAAATAAGTTATTACAGCAACTTTAAATGTTTATACTTCAACAATGAATTGGAGCAGAAACAATTATAACCTTAAAAAGTTGTTAAAATGCTGCAATTTAAATGTTTACATGCAACTTAATTTATTAATTGAAAAAATAAACTTGATTGATTAATTGATTACATAAACTTGCCATTGGTTTCAAAATAAAGCAATTTTTGCGCACTTAAAACTTGTGAAACTTAATGCAATTTCTGACTGGTTGTTTTTGTATTTAAAAAAAAAAAGATAAAATAGTAACATTTATTAATGAAGCCGTTTAATCACAGTGTTCATGATTTAAATGAAAAATGAATAAATAAAACATAAAATTTTTAGTCAATGCTATGTACTATTACTGTGTATTATATAGTACTAAAAAAAGTAATTGTCATTATGACAGTTTACATGATATACTGTATATTTATGATGCATATCATGGTTTGCACATTTTTACGGAAGCATAAATAATATATTTATGTTTCCATTAACATTTGTATACCATGATATATTTAATAATCGACCAAAACTGTAAGAATGTTGTGATCTAATTTTTGCAGACAGACAGACAGGCACTGACTCTGTGTGTGTTGAGGAGTTCACTGATGGAGATGTAGATCACGGGTCTGTTGAGGATCAGCGTCTCTGAGTACTCGTCGATGTTGAAGCGTTCCTCCGGCTCAGGCACGTCACACACAGTGCGCAGGAACTTCCTGTAGCAGGAGAGAACGAGTGATGAAACAGGAAGTGTGTGTTCTGAGCTGAGTGTGTGTTTGATGTATGTATGTGAGTGTGTGTGTGTGTGTGTGTGTGTGTGCTTGATATATGTATGCGAGTGT